CAAAACGCTCTCCGCTCATGGCTGGAAAATCTTAGCGGGAACACTGGTGGGGGGGCTGGTCCGGCAGTGGTAGCCCTTGTACGGCGAAGGGTGGTGGTGGCAGCGGCAACCCCCCCCGGGATCCCAGCTTAATCAATGAACCGGTTAAACCTAGCGCTTAGCCAGGTAACTAGTTAACCGGGATTTTCCATCCTTAGTGGTGGAGCACTAGAACTCCAGTGACGGGCGGTTCTTCAGGATGCCTGCTCCCTGGCTGCGTTCCACCTCCGTGCAGCATGAGCACGGTGCGCCGGGCGATTGTTAGTACGCAGTATCTGTTGCTCGTGCTCTGGGAGGGTGAGAGGAGGGGGATGCGAGCTAGTTGGTAGCAAAGGCTAATGCAGCCCCAGAGAATCGCTGCAAACAGAGCGCGACCCCCCCGATCTCTCCGCACAAAGTCCAAGCGTCTTTCCACGAGCTTTTGTTCTTTGCCGATACCAGGCCAGCGCTCTTCAGACATCGAGAGACCAGAGCAGCCTCTCCTCATCAAGCACGTGCTGCTGCAGAAACGAAAGTCAGTCAGTGGGTTCTCGCACTCCGGTGCAACTCTGAAATTGCTTTCACCGGGCCGGGGTGAAGAGAGGGGGCTTTCCTTCATGGCGAGTTTGCCGGGAGTGCTCCTAACTCCATGACTCTCTTGGCCGAGGTGGTGGCAGCTCGGAAGACAACATCCCCTGAGAAGTGGAGCCCAGGGCACGCGGCTGAAGGTTCGATGGGAGGTCTGGTGAGAGATGGAAGAATGGGATTGAGGAGCTGGCTTTGCCAGTGGAAGGAAGGATCGAAGAAGTCCCTTCAGAATTGAGGGCCGGGGAGGAATCTACGGGTTTCACCCGCCAGACAGAGAGGCTAGAACTCCAGTGACCGATGACATGCACCTGACGAAGTGGGTCTTTGCCCACGAAAGCTTACACTCCAACACTTCGGTTAGTCTAGAAGGTGCCACAGGACTCCTCGCTGCTTTTGTAGAACTCCGGAGGGAATTATTACTTTGGCAATGACGCCGACATACAGTAATTCCTCATTTAACACTATAGCTGCGTGTCTGAAAACATTCATACTAGGTGAAAACGTGCTATGAGGGGTTCATTTTCCCATTAAAAATAATGGAAAAGGTAGAGGAGGGTGTTTCAGGTGGTGGCAGCAACGTCCATTTTTTGTTGGTGCTGGGTTGTCAACATCAACATCAAGATAAACCCGTGAGTGAGCGGAGGAGTACTGTGACCACGTGTATTCATCCGCTGATGCGTATTACCAGTTTTCACCAATGTATACCGCTGCACAAAGTAGTCCGCCACTTGGTTATTTTCATGTTATTTCGGGGACAGTCGTGTTATTCAAAAAACGTTCCCTAAAAAAAATCGTGCTATTGTGAAAACACATTAAGCGGTTAATGACTTAAACGAGTAACGACTGTACATTTTCTGCCGAGTAGAAGCCAGGTTTGCCAGTAATGGCGATGGAGCCCGGCACATGCCAAGGTGTGTGCAGGAGACCCCCTGGCCAAGGAGGACAGGCAAGCTGCCACTGCAGTGTGACGGTGGAGGGTGACCCGGTTTATGCGATCCCCCGGCGTGGAATCATTTGCCAGACAGGCTCTTGCAGCAGTCAAGTCCAAAGTCCATCCTATGTGGTTTAAGGACCTAGTGGGGGGCTAGCATGGACTTATGTGGCTGACACGTTCCCGGGAAAGACAGCAGACTGAGGATGAACCGGGTTGCCAGTTGGATTTCCTTGTATGCTCTGCCTGTCAGAAGCCAGTTGCTGAGGTGTGTGATGACGCCAACCAGCTGCCACCGCTGAAACGACCCTTGTAAAGAACCTGGCCCGAGCTGGCAAGGGTCTCGAACCAGGAGGAACCGTCTGTAGGCTGGGTGAAAATTCATGGGAAAGGGTGTGTCTGCCACGTTGAGACACACAAACCACGAGCCCTCTTCCTGAGCGGGACTGACATGCCAACATGACCGTGCAGAATTTCAGTGTTCAGATGAATCTATTTAGTCTGTGTAGGTCAAAAACCTGTCTCCACCCCCGTTCTCTTGGAGGACAAAGTAAAGAGAGTAGAATTCTTTCCCTTGCCGTGGCGGTGAGATTCCTTCTAGGGCTCCCCGGTGGAGAAGGGCGCCCACGTCTCGAGGTAGCATTTCCTCGTGAGGCTGGTCCGTGGAAAGGACCCAGGAAGGGGTTTTGCAGGCAGGGACGGACAGACACTTGATCGGGTCGCCACTGCAAATCATTTCCAGCCCCGTTGTCTGTTCAAGCCCTACAGTTGAGTGCAAATGGGGTAAGTCAGCCTCGAAAAACGAAGCAAGAGGGCGATGTGGCATCAGTAAAGGGCTGCAGGTCTTGGGGGTCTTGTCATCAGTAACTCTTCGGCTGGGGGTTAGAGGGAGGAGCGGCCCCTGGCCACTGTAATCTGTCACGTGCGCGCTGGCGGTCAGCTGGCTGAGGCAGCGGTCGGCCTCTATATCCCTAACCGGGATGCTGGCTCTAAGCCTTGCCCTCGGGTCCCCGAGACACGGAGAGATTCGTCCACCCCGAGTGTGTCACGGTGGCACAGGCAGATTTGGAATGGTCTTCTGCATTTCCACGGGAGGAGGCCGCTTGGGGAGGGTCTTTAAGAGAACTAGGACTCCTTCTCCCAGGGCTTCCCAGGGCCTTCTCAAATCTATTCCGCCAAAGGAGGATGGTGCCGAGGCGCTGTGCTCTCCGTGGGACCGAGAGGCGAGGGATGTCCCCCGAGCTGGGCCCAAGGCAGGGTGAAGAGACCTCTCTGTCATCTGGCGGCTCAGCCTAGCCTCCAGACTCTTCCGGGCCCTGGCTTTAAAGGCTGAGCAGAAACTGCCCTTGGAGGGACGTGGGCGTCTCCCCTAGACAATGGGCGTCCCAGGAATGACCGCTGCGGTGAGGCCATGTCTGCGTCCTGGTGCATGCCCCCAGGAGGGGCGGGGAAGAGGAGGGATCCCGCTAAAGCCAGCAGGTGCAGGAGACCCACTGTATCAGGCCGAAGCAGAGAAGATGAGGGGGTGGCCCGGGCAGCCCTGCGTAGCCTGAGGGCAGGGCATGAGGAGGCACAGGGCAGTGCCGGGTGCATGTGCAGGCCAAACGGGCTCAGGCACTGAAAGTTTCCAGCGGCAGGCAAGTGGCCAGTGCAGCTCGTGCGGCGCACTCAGATCAAAACAGCCTGAGCCCTCGACGGGCTTGTCCCAAGGGCGGGGGCATTTTGCCTTCGCAGCCCGGGGCACAGAAAGGGGATTCCTACGGCTCTGCAGTGCCCTGCACGCGGCGGCCAGGAGCCTGCCCAACAGGCCTCGCCGTTCGGACACGGCCTGGAACAGGAAGCGCTGGCGGCTTCGCTTGTGAGCTAGGCCCACCGCTCGCTGGATCTCCTGCCGCGCCAGGTCTTCGGAGAGAAAACGGAGCGTCCGCTCCCGGCTCCGGCAGAACGCCGCCGCCAGGCAAGCCCCATCCGTACGCACTGCTCTGCCTCAGCACCACCACGCAGGGCCTGAAACCAGGGAGAGAAACCGCCCGGCAGGCGTGCGGCCCGGCCAGAGGACCCAGTCAACAAGGACGCAGAGAAAAAGCCGGCTGGGTACCAGAGGGCCCCGGGCCCAGCCTGGTTACTGTTCCCGTGCAGAGAACACAGCCGGGGAAAGCCAACACCACAGCTGGACCCAGCAAACGGCCTAAGCCCCAGAAGACTCCCTCTCTTTCCAGGGAGAGCTCCATGGCCCACAGGCCCCTGGAAACCCACCGTCCCCTTGCGCGAGGGACCATCTAAGCCAAAGCGCTTGACTTGACGACGGAAAAAATACAGGAGAGGTGACACCAGCCAACCTCTTCCTAGTCCAGGGGTCTTCCCCGTCCAGGACCCTGGCCTTTGCTTCTCGCTCTTGGGGGTCACCTCAGAGAACATCCCCAGGCTGGGAGCTTCCTGGAACCACTCCCTTGTCTCCGAGCGCTGGGGACCGGGTGGCTCTGGAGCGGGAGGCACCTCCTGGAACTGCAGCCGGGGGTGTCTAACAGCTACAGAAATGCAGAGGAGACACACGGCCTTGTGCATGCTGGGTAGCACCGGGGAGGAGACGCAAACCCTGAGAGCCCCCGACAGCCCCAAGTCCCCTTCCTGGTCCTTGGCCAGAAAGCCAGAGAAGATGAGAGACAATGGCAGCCCCAGGAGCAGCACGGGTTTGAGTCAAGCTTCTTCTACGAGCAGCCTCTAGCCGGGGTGGGCAGCCTGCCGTCCACACGTGGCCCGTGGGGGCTCCGGGTGTGGCCCGTGGTTCACACGCAGAGTGGCCAGATTCCACTGGTTTCCGTCCACAGCGGGTTTTCCCTACTGGTGGTACCAAACCGCCAGTGACCATCGCCTGGGGGAGCTGTGCAGTCCGGCAGTCCTGGGAGGCCATCTTGCTTAGGGCAACCTTGCGGCCATGGCGACGGAGGCCACTCACTAGCCCTGGTTGCCCCTCACTGCTGTAGCCCCAAGGGGGGATCCGCCCCAGGCAAGCCGCACAGGCGCTGAGGGGGTGAGCGGCCCTCGTGACAGCAGAGCGCTCCGCCAGGTGAAGCAGCGGCGCCGTTGGGAGCGCTACACCTAGGCAGGCGGCGGGCAAGCCCAGAGGGAGGGGAATGGAACAGCCCGGCCGGGCGCCTGCAGCCGAGTGGGCCCCGGACAGGGCAGCGTCATGGAGGCCCCGGCTAGGAAACGAACACGCCTGGCCCCGGCGGCAGGAGCAGCGCCTTCCCGAGGAGGTGGCACTGGAGTGAATGGCTGTGCAGGGCTGTTGTGTCTCAGTGCAGCTACACAAGCTGCCTCCATCATCCTCGTGGACCTCCCGTGAGCAGGGCAACCCCAAAGTATTCGGGGCGTGACCACCTCACCAACCCTGAACAGAGGGGCCGACAGACTTGCCGGAGGCCTGGCAAGGTGGAGGGGGTGGCCCTGCACTCCAGGAACGGCAGGGCCTTGGGCACAAGGAGCAGCCAGGGTCTCAGTGCAGCTACACAAGCTGCCTCCATCATCCTCGTGGACCTCCCGTGAGCAGGGCAACCCCAAAGTATTCGGGGCGTGACCACCTCACCAACCCTGAACAGAGGGGCCGACAGACTTGCCGGAGGCCTGGCAAGGTGGAGGGGGTGGCCCTGCACTCCAGGAACGGCAGGGCCTTGGGCACAAGGAGCAGCCAGGCCTCAGA